TTTAGTTGAAACTCAATTTTCGAAAAAAGACAAGCTGATCGTCAACAGATAACTCAATATATTCTGCAATCTGTATAAATCAAAAACGATTCTGATAAAATATTTGTTAGCCTGGAAAATCAGTATAAAAAGACGTATGGAGATTTGTTAAACGTCATATTCAGTATCAACTGAATTGATAATTCATATTAACCTAGTAGTTTTTTATGAGAAAGTGATTGATTAGTTGAAGAACGTTCCCTCGTAAGTCGATACGAAATATAGCTAGATCATTATTTGATAAGCCATCTAATTCACATAAGAAGGAAAGAATACTTGACGAGCGGCGACAAAGTTTCACAAATGATATTTTGTACATTAGAACTTTTAAAAATTTATACTTTAATGTTTTGTAATAAAAAACAACAAAATAAATCAGAAAAACATGATGCTATTTATCACTGTCAGTGTCTTTCAATTCAATTATGCTTAGGAGAGAGTAAGAAATAAACTTCGTCGGCTAGAATAAGAATATAGATTTTACAGAATAGAGTAACAGTTGCAAATTCTTTCTTAGGCAGAATATCAGGCATAAGACAACTTTATTCTACATATCTCTATTTAAGGAGTTTATAAGTGATTTTGGACTTACAGGAACCGAAAGAACGTGTTAGCTTGACAAAAGAATGAAAAAAAAACTGTATATTAAAAGAATGGGGACTGGAATACTTCTAGCAGAAAGCTACAAAATTAAGATTAAGTTTCTAATTTGATTTTTAGAGTTGTGATGAGTTTGAAAATATTTTTCATTGTTAGACTATGCCCAGATTTTAATCCTTTGTTGTAATAGAGAGTTTTTGAATCACTAAGAATCAAATAACTTTAGTTTCTTTCTAACGCCTCAATATTCACCATCGACAACGCGACGTTTATCGTATTAAAATTTGCGAAATTCATTGTAATTTTTGATTCTTCACTCGAAATCCATGACTAGTTCAATAGTATCTCAATAATTTTCAAATCAGTAATATCAAAACAATCATTGATCCATCGAAAGATATTTTCATTAGAAAAAATCACAACATTATCTACAATATACAATCGTCTTCATTTACACATGACTTATTTCGAACGTTCCAAAATCACCAATTCAAAAAACTTGTGATAGATACTTCAAAACGAATGACTCGAACAATTAAGCCTTTTTCTATGAGAAACGTCGTCTAAATCTCGCACATGAAAATTTTTGCCCTATTTAATCTTTTCTTAACGTAATAGAAAGGAATATTTGCAACTCGTATTAAATAAACATCACAATGAAAATATAAAAATCATAATTAAAATCAAAACTGCATTGAATATTCAATTAAAATGACTACACAATCATTTTTGTTCAATCATATCATCCAAAAGAATAACATTACAGATCAATTTGTGATTAGACAATGCCTGAATGATTCTGACAATCATCTATTAAATGATCATAACATTCTTTTATATGACACCGAATTAAGTGGTTTTAACTATTCATTAATGGAAATCTATGACAAGTTATCTTCGCACATTTTATATCAAAAATAAATCAGTAAATAACAATTACATTTTATTAATTATTTATTCATATCACTTGTCCTATTTCAAGAGATAAATATCTTTGATAGCCTCAGGGTTTTATTTAAAATATATATATCTTTCTTTATCCTATATCCTTTGTTTCTTCTTCTTTCTTTTCTTATACTCGTCAAGCTCATGTTAAGTACGATAAAAAGGTCATACATCTTTTTCATAAAAAACAATTTCGATTTTAGCCATCTTCCAAGTTCATTTTAGCACACTACTGTCATCGCCGTAAGCAAAAGAAGAGAAAAAGAAATGGGCGGGTGCAAAAAAGAAAAGAAAAGAGTAAAGAACGAACATTCTCGCTTTGTCGCGCTCTTCGGTCACGTCTCTTCTATATACCTGTTTTAATCAAATGAAAAAGTGAATAAAAGAGAAAAAAAACCACAGAGAGAAAGAAAATCTGCAAACGATCATTCAAACGACAAGCATAAAAAACAATGTCCATTAGGAAATGCACATGACAACGAGATAATTGTTCAACGTCAAAGACACGTGATACCATACGTATATATATATATACTGTCATTCTTCAAACTTTATCGCGTGTTTGTGGCTTTTTAACGTCAAGGTGAGAGTTCTGCTTTTTCTTTTTGATATCTCTTGAGAATTAACTTAGAAGGAATGCTATACATCTAAGTACACCATCGATCATTATCTATATCACTACCGTCACTATTTATGGACATCGAATGATTTTTAGTTTCCCTCTGGTATTAAAAAAAAATCGGATAACAGTTGTCAGAAAGAGAACCAACTGTAAGTGTGCTTCCTCTATAGATAATAGTTATATGAACTTACATCAACAGACGTAAGTTTCTTGACTTAATAATTTTTAACCTTGTATTCGTTATTTACAATCATGATAGGTTTCATTCTTAACTCTTCAATTGATTGTCTAGACTAAAAGAGCTTGTAAATGCATACTAAAATTGATAGGGTTTCCTCGTATTTTTATATGTCAATATTGATATTTCCATTTTAAAAACTATCAAAATGATTTGTATTGCCGTAGATCATAATAACAGTAACAAGAAAAAAGTTCATGGCCTTAAAATATTATCGTGAAGAGCATACATATGTTTACATGTCTGTCATGTTAATCAACATATTCAGTGTACTTGATGATTCTTGCTGTTTATAGACACCCATTTATATAGGAACTCATTCATTCTTATAGATTTTCTATCCAATTATCAAGTAAATGTAACGGTTAGAGAGGATGACATTTGTTATCATTTTGTGGATGGTTCTATCTGCTTATTGCAAAAAAAAAAAGGAAATGTACACATACATATTAACATATAGTATTTTTAAGTAACAAACATGATTAGTCAATGTATAAGAGAACATGGTAAGAAGAAATAATTTTTTTTATTTAATATAAAATAAATTCCACTAGATTTATTATTTGATTGTTCTCAGTTCACTTACATACTTTTATTATTAATTATTATCACAAAGATGAAATCATTATTAAAATAAATAAATTTACTTAGAATTTTCGTATATCGATTTTATTATCATTGGACTTAGTTACAAGTTTTATATTATTCATTTCTCTTGAGAAGAAACAACTCTTACTGTTACATGTATTATCCCTTTAAAGAAAATTGCAGCAGTGAGTACAAGGTTATGTATGTATGATGTAATTGAATATCAATCTAGCGTTTGTATGTGCATATGTGTACTTGTGAACAAGAAAAAAAGGAAACCATTTCTGTCGAATATATATGCAAAAGAGATTACTACTCGTCAAGTGGAAAGACTTCGATATCATATATGTATGTATATATATATGCATAAAGTAATTATCTTTTATATTCATCTTTCTATAATTTTGACAGATTCAATCATCTATCTTCGATATAACCATGAAAATTCTATGAGATCAGTCATGTTCTTTATAGCTAATTTTATTTTATGTCCTTCCTGTTAGCAGCAACACACACGCATATGTACATATTAGTAAGATAAAGAATTTGGGTGTTAAAGTTGATGATTGAATAGAATATACATAATGATTTCCGTTATTACCGGTAGACATATAGACTAGCATACCAACAAGCACATGTTGTTACCATTGCTTTTCTTTTTTTTTTTTTTGCTTATCATTTGACATTGAGCAGTTTTCGTTTCTCATACTCGTTTCACATATACATATATATGAAGTCATTTCCTGTCAATTTTTTTTTATAACTTGAATGTGAATTGGTTTATAATCGTGTCTCCTTCCATTTATTACGCAAACGTAAGCAATTATATTCGAGTGTATCAGACGATTAGATGAATGACATGAATAAAAAATTTTCTTTTTTGCTCCCTTATTCTCGTTGCTGAACACTTGAAAATGCATCACCTCATACTCTATATAAACGTAATTTTACTCATTATAAAAATTTAACATAACGATTCATTGAAGCATATTAAAAAGAGAATGACCTAGAAACAACAAAAAAAAAAAGAAGTGTGAAGAAAGAAAATATATGCGTTTGTTCACCTCTGTCTAACCGGCGAGAACAGTGCAGGACATGTTCATAATATGTATGAATGAACGTATGATGAAGAAACAAAAAGAAAAAAGAATAGAAAAAGAATACGACATACATGACTGTTAGTCTTTCATATCGTTCATGCGTATGTACGATATTGGCAAAATAAGAATTGTATTGGTAGAGAAGAGAACGAAGAAGATTGAGAGGTGCATGTCTGTCTGTATTTCAGTAACAGCCTACTAGCCATCAGACGAGGTAGGTCATTGTATGAGAAAAAAAGAAAAAGAAAGATTACATCATTATCGTGAGTGTAAACAAGAATAATACCCAACACTAATGGCTACACCCTATCATATAAAGCAGAAGAGAGGTGAATGATGTTGGTTAGATTTGATGAGAACAAGAGTGCTGACATATGATTATACCATCATATAAACGCAGCTGGTTGTTATAGCATAATGAAAATAAGCAAACTAGATATTGAGAATAAGGTTATTTTATTGAGTTTTCATACATATATATACATATATATATTTGTTTATTTTAATGTTCATTTTCTTTTACGTAAATAAGAAAAAGATGAATCAAATTGTTTGAGTAAACATGTATCGTATATTATTTCTTATCTTTGTTCTATATACATTTGTTCTGAATAATTTTAATGTCAATTTCTCCGTTTGATGTTGATTCAACATTCACTTATTATTAGTCTTTTTTATCCAATATCAATATTGAGCGTATTTCCTGATCTATTCTCACTGTCTATTTTTTTTTTGGATCCTACCTTACCATCAAGGATTATTCTTTTTCTCTTGAGATAACCTCTAGACGAATCAACTTGAAAAAAAAAATAAAGAATCAACACTTATCTCTAATCCAACATTTATTTTAGAGCAATACATAGTGAATATGTCGACAATAACTGGTAATATAAAAAGTATGACCAGTTCATTGGATGCCAATGAATTAATACTTGAAATACCTGTTTGGGTCAATGGTAAACGTAAATGGGTAACTGGCATTACAAAAAAGACCACATTTGACGATCTTATCTATGCTCTGTTGGTACAAGCTGAGCTACTTAAATCATCCGATATAACAAATTCATCATTGAATAATATTACAGGTTATGCCATCGCTGAATGTATTCAATCGACTTCTTCATCTACCGAATCAGTTATCACTCAACGTATCTTTAAAGGTCGTTCAAAAGTGATCAAAGCATACAAAACTTGGCACTTTGATAAATTACCATTCACGATTCTTCATCTTATATCAACATCATCAGTGACAGATAATAATAATAATAATAATCATTCTTCAACAACAAAATTTCGTTCAAAACTATTTCGTCGTTTTTTATCATCAAAAGAAACTCATCATGAAGAATTTATTCATCAAAAACTTTTAAATAATTATCAAGAAAATTTAAATATTCTTGAAAGACAAAAACGTTTACTTAATTATCTTGATGAACAAATTCATCAAATTGAAAAATCTTCTTCAAATATAAATACAATTGTTAATTTAAATGATGTATCACATTTATTATCATCAAAACCAATAAAACAAGAACAATTAATTTTAGCAACACAATTATGTAATTCAATATTTAATATTCAAGAACATATTGATGAAAAAACAAATATATTATATGCTGTTGAACAAGCTATATCAAATGAATTAAATCATGTTTTACATCAACAACATTATGATACATTACCATTAAATATAATTGATAATACAAATTCATCAAATGATTTATTAACACTTAAAAATTCTATTTATCGTAGTAGAGAATTATCTCGAATACAATCAAAAGAAATGCATGATTTAGATTTATCATTACGTGAAGCAGAAATTTTAATTGGATCAAAATATGATGAACTTAAATATCTTGAATATGAAACATCATCAAATTCCATTATAAGATCAAGATCTCTTACACCAAGTATAAATTTAACACAAAAATTAACTATTGATGAACAACGTCAACAACAACAAACATCTTATGATACACTTGAACTTGCTTTTAATTCAATGAAAGAAGTTGATGAAGATTCAGGAATTAATTCATTAACGAGTGAAGATAGTAATCATCATTCAATGTCTATGATACATCAAAAAATGAATACACAACTCGAAACACTTGTCTAGAATTTATGTATTTTTAGCAATTTCGTTTTTTTTTTCATTTTTTTGTTTTATGTAAACATCGAGTTGTTATTCTATCATATTAAAATTGGATCTGACATGAAAAAAAAAAGAGAATTTTATTGAACAGTTTAGTCACCTGTGTGTGAAGCAGACGTGCAAGAGTTTATTTAGTGAAACTGTGATAGGAACAGGTTTCGTTCGAAGTCTTGCTATAATAAAACACGTTAATACATTTTTTATATATTTAATCGAGTTTAAATGAGTTAATTGTTAGTTTACAGCAAATAAATATAGTGAACTGAATAATTTTAGATGATCAAAAATACAAAGTCTTTTATGTAACCGACTATGACACACGCGATACACCCTCAACTATATTCGATCTTTCTGTTGTATGAAACGATTATAGATATGCGATATGACCTGCTAAATTGTAGTGTACACATCAATCGAATAGATCAAACCTTACAATGACAGATATAAGTTTAGAGCAGTTGTATTTTTAAGTTTTCTTTTACATGATAACAGCTAACAAGAATCTGCAAAAAAAAATTTGTATAGCTGAAAAGATTCTCTATTAGAACTGCTAGGCTCAAAGATTCTCAAAACTAGCTTTCTAACTTTCATTCAAAACCTTTGAGGAAAGATTTTATTTGATAAAGAAAATAATTCTCAATAAAATGAAACATTTTTGATTTCTCCTTGACTTTTCTTCCTCGAACTTTATTCAATTCAAAAAAAAGCTCACGAAGGATTTTTCTCTGCTTTTGACTGAACATTTCAATGCTTTTGTCACATTTGATGCTTTCTGTGAATTGAATACAGTTGGATGAAGGAAGGTCAGAAAGAAGTTAGAGACCTTTTATCTTTCTCTAAATCATGTGCTGTATCAAACGAAGTGTTTTTTCAAAAGCTTCGAATCGAAGTTAGACAGCTAGTTTTGGAGGGCTTGGTTTTTTCTAGATCTTTATTTAAATAGTTTTGTTGCTACTTTCAGGTCTAACAATCTTGATAAAGAATTCTTTGAACTGCACAAAATTTTTTTGTTGCAGATTCTTGCTTGTCATTATCATTGAGAAGAAAACTTAAGAGTACAATTGCTCAACACTTGTCTACCATTATATGTTTGCTTGGGTCAAAAAGTCATTACATCATTTTAGTAAATGTGACACATAGGAAAGTTAAAAATTGAAATTGACAAACACCTTGTTTGATTTTTCATGTTACAAAACTTGAATAATAATGATTCCTAAGTGTGTTCATATAATTTATGAGCTGAAATATGAAAAAATTTTTATACACTACTATAAAATGTTTTGCGGTTTCTAATACGTTGTACGATACAGTACAATGCAAGAGTAGGTCGATCATTCTTTTTAATGTAAATACAAATAACTACTATCTTCTTATTCAGATCGAATGAATAACATTTATTGTTTAATTCCACCCGTCTGGAACCAATTTGAAACAGTGATTAAAACTGTAACAGATAGACTAACGATATATTTGACCGTGATACTTTTTATTGTAGTGAGCAATGTTTCATATCATCTAGTTCGTATAATTATTGATTTGAAAACATATAATCATCATTGTCCAAGTCAATTCTTAAAAGAACTATTGAAGAAAACACCTTTTTTTTTGAAAGAAATTGAGGTTCAGAATTGATTCTTCGTAGTGACGTAACTAGGTAAGGGTTAGAGAGGACTCAGTTTCTCTACAACTAGTAGACAATTGTTTAAAAAACAGACATGAACCATTTTTGCTGACATATGTTATTAAAATATATTATATACTATCAACAGATCAGATCAATAAGCCTCTAAAATAAAATCGTAGTAGTCCTTTATCGAAGCTTTGAAATATTCAGAAGAAAGGCTCGGAGCTCATTATCAAACAAGTAAAAACATAAAATTATTAATGATAATAGCCTATATTGTCTAAAGAATGCATCATTTTCAAGTTATTGTAGAACATGATTAATACCTATTGATGGCTTTTGAATGCTATCTTTTGTTTCTGACATCAATTAAACAAGATGCACCAAATCTTCTTGTCAAGTATATAGATGAACAAAATCCATACTTTACGTCATATATTTTACATCATTGGAACCAATTACGAAAAAACTTCATTAAGAGAAAGAACTGCATAATCTCGAAATTTCAAGCTCACTTAATTATAGTTAATATCTAAATCACAATATTTAGTTTCCTTTTTTTTAATAACATATCAAGTGTCTTTACTAGAAATCCTACTCATAACGTTTTTCATGTTGTCTATAAAGTCATTATTTTGTTATTGGAAGAGAAAAATCACTGTGGATTCCTTGAAAAATTTCACTACTTTTGCTTTAACGATAGCTCAGACGATTTCTGTGTTCACCTTCGTTCACTCTCATCCACATGCAAGAAACATCTGTCGAAGAAAATTTAGTGAACATTAAAAAAATGTTTAATACATGTATAAAGTAGTTCTTATGAATACATTACATACCGTGCTAGAGTATCAATGAACACACTGAAAAAGTTTCCAAAACAGCAAAAATGTGTTTGAACAACAATATCATAAACTACTGAAAAACATTTCAAGGTCGTGCTAGAGATTAACAACAGATATGATGTTGATATAGCCGTTGAAAATTTGCTGGTCGTATATTCAGAAAGAGCTCGAAAATTTATGGCTAACTATGATTGATTGAATACCCATTGGAAGTTTATTAGTAAAATATGGATGGAAGAGTGAACATGAAATATCGAGTTTACTTTTCTTGATCTTGAAGACGAACTATGAGTTATTTTTTATAATACGAGGAATAAAATTTATCATTAACATTCTGGTACATTTTTGTTTTTTTAATATTATCGTAAAATTCAATGAAGTCGATCTTAAATAAATGTTAGTAGAACAACACAAGATTGATCATGATGAAAGATAGAAAGCGGTGATATCTAATAAATCGAAAAAAAATACGTTTTAATGTGTCGCTTTCGAAGGTAAATCATGTCGATATTTTTATATGTATAAGACAAATATACTGTAGTGTGCCACTTCTCTTTCTTTCTGTATTTATCATGATAAAATACAATAGAATCATAGAAGTGCATGAATGGCATATCTAATATAAAGTCATTTCAAATTTACTTTTTTTTTTCGCTATCAATTAATGATCCATAGAAGCAAATGTCTACAATCAAAGGTCATTGTCAACATTGAGATTTAATCTCGGACTACCGGCATTGCTCGTTAATGTTTTAGTGCAAACTAAACATATATACATCATATAGATATTCATTTACGTATTCAACACTTCGAGATGTTGAACATTAACACAAACATGTATGTGTTGAAAGATATAAAGCTTGTTTTTTTATGCATTTCTATTTCATAGGATTCTAATTGTATTATTCATGTGTTTGTGGACATATACGTATGTCTTCTTAATAGTCTTTATGAGTGTAAGAATTTGTTTGTCTTCATATGCCTTCCGTAGAAGTCATATTGTTTTTATTTTACAATCCTATAATTTTAAAAACGAATCAAAAAAAAGCTTAACAAATTTTGTATAAATAAACATAGATATTGTCTTTTTTCTCTGTATTAAGAACAACTATAGTAACCATGTTAGATAAGAAAACTTACAGAAGCAAATTACTATTAAAAAAAGAGAAAATAATTGATGTTCGTACTAATTTTGTCGTATAATAAAATAGAATATTAAACTTACAATTTGAATATTAGCATTTTTTTTTTAATCTAATTCAATTCGTTTTCATGAAAATAATTTGATTGATGAAGGTCATAGAGATATTGTTTACATACCCTGAAAACTATGTTAACCAACATCACCAGTAAGATTTTATTAAAATTTGAAAGAAGCATAAAATCGAATATATTTTTTTATGATCAAAGTCGCGCATTTTTGCTTGAATGTCATGTGAAGAAAGAACAGTACATGTATATCTTTGAATATTTAATACACAGACTTCTGAGTGCTTGTATAGTTTTCATATTGCTGCAAGAACAGTTATTTAAGAATAAATTAAAATTTTTTAATAGAGATTTTTTTACAGAAAAGCATATTTCTATAAGAGGTTAGATGAATTCAAAGAAAGACATTACAATTAGCACAAGAATGTTTTCTTATAAATATTTATTCTTCGTACTTCGTATATTTCCAAACATTTCGTGTTTTTTGATAAAATAAATTTTTTTAGTAAGAGAAATAAACACATCTGAAAAGTCCAATACTTAGTAAAATCCTTCATTGGTTGAATATGTTATACAATCGCTCTAGATACTTTTAGAAGTTAATTATGGTTGTTTCATTATTGAAAGATCTTTGTTTAAATGAAATACTTGATGTTGAAGCATTAAGTATAGCAGCATACGAACAACAGAATGTACTACGTGATAAATGAGAGTATGATTTTGAAGAAAACTACAGATGATTTGGTGGTATATATTACTTTTTTTTATTTTATTTATAAAATAATTATTTTTATATAGTTTTTCTGCTTTATTATTTTTTTGTCAGAATCTACAGTTTTTGTAAAGGCTATGATTTAAGTGATCAATTAAACAGACAAAAGAGTCAATAAAAAAATATGTAAATGATCACTATAAAGATTGAATGGCCAGTTTATCGTGTATATTTATCTTTCACTTGGTACAGATTAAACGATATTTATGATATATATTACATTTAAATGAGTGTTTTATTGAATCTTTTAGATTACTTATTTGATATTGACACAAATCACATGATTAAACAATAGTTTTCACGTTGTCAAGTCTAATGGCTATACATAATAGAATTCAGTTTGAATTCAAAGTTGATAGTTTTTTACAAACGAGAATGGATATGTACTTTTTCTATAGATGCAGATACTTTAATCAATCACTGCATTGAGTCCACATTTGTTTTGACCATATACTAATTTCTTTGATCATATATTAATCTATTTGATCTCGGGAAACAAAATGTTGAATGTGGAGAA